AAATCTTTTTCTCTGCTCCTGGGTATTAAATAAACCAACTAAGTACATAGTTGTGATGAACAAGAGTGCCTCTACCAAAATTGTGAATTTTATGGCCCCAGGGTCAGGGGTTCTGGTGTAAGGATGGGGCTCTATTGATTATATAGTGAAAATACATGAATTATTTGAAAATCTTCTTCTCTGCTCCTGGGTATTAAATAAACTAACTAAGTACATAGTTATGATGAGCAAGAGTGCCTCTACCAAAATTGTGAATTTTATGGCCCCAGGGTCAGGGGTTCTTGTTTTAGGGTGGGGCTCTAATGATTATATAGTGAAATGCATGAATTATTTGAACAGCTTATCCTTTGCTTCTGGTTAATATGGTAATGATCTAATTATATATTTAAGGCCAGGATTTATTTTATTTTCAGTTTTACAAACCTTCCGCTCAAGGTTTTGAATTTTCAGAAAAGAACAAAAATTCCGATGTCGAATTTGAGTCAGGATCGAGATTTTCAAATTTACGAACTAGCACTTCCATTTTTACGATGAAACGGCGGGTAAATAAAGCAAAATCTGAGAAGATAGCTTGGTTTAGTGTAAAATTCATCGATAAGAGTGCCTTTCAAAAGGTTTCACCCGTTCAAAGGACAAATAAAATGCTGACGAGGTTTTAAACTGCCCGTGGTAGCTATTGCATATTGCCAGCGACATTGTTTAGGTCTCTGTTGTAGCTTACAGTATCATTCTTCAGAAAAGGGTTGCTTATGCATCAAATGTAACTATGGGAGAAGTTAAGTCCATATGAGGAAGAAAAAAACAATAACCTGAAGAAATAAAAAAAAAATCAACTATTAAAAGGCAAGAATATACAAATATATATAGGCATGTAGTATCATTTGTATCAGCCAGAAAAATTATTTCACACTTAATTGAAAAAATGTTCACCCTACTCCCCAATACTCCCTGTCTGTTTTATGATAGGAATTTTAGGCATCAAGTAAATTTTAGAACAATGTCTACACATTCACCTAACACATATTAAAAAAATGAAGATATATTGAAAGACTTTTAAAGAGTTGATTTTTTAAAATGTATTTTGACCAACATCACAAAATTTATATAACTGGCCCAAACTAGCAGATGATGAAGCCTATAAGGATAGCATAAAAAAGAATGTACAAATGCTAATAATGGATTTATCAAAAAAAAAATTTATTTCCTTCTCCTTCGGGACTTTTTTATTCTAATGTTCATAACTAAACCTAAACATAAAAAAATGCTGGCCTTATAATGAAGAAAGGGGCCTCTTTCAAAAAAGATAATTTCAGGGCCTGTACCAGGGGGGTACTTTGACTAAAAATAAATTAATGCTTTGAAATCTGCCCTTTGATAAGCAATGGTGCTTCTTTCGAAATTTGTGAATTTCATGGCTTTTGGATTAAAACACGAACCAAATACAATCGCTGGAAAGTTGTTACATGATACTCAGGTGACCTATAAGGCCAGTGGGCCTCTTGTTGATATAGACGCCTCATTCCTGGGAAAACTTCCTGTAACCGCGCCTATTGCCATTCACTTATCACCGTCAAGTATGTTGGGTCATTTATGTATAACGGGCTTTATTTATCCCACATTTCTAACAATCGTTGATGCTCTAGCATACCCCCCAAAAAAAACAGAAATCTCTGTCGAGACTGAAGCTCTACTGGTTTGTACTTATAGCAAAGGAAGAGAAAAGTACATAAGCAGTTGAAAATTGAAACTTTTCAACAGCAATAAATAGAATTATGATCCTTGATTAAGTCTCTTTATGTTCTTAGTGTAGTCTTCTTGCATGCCACATTTTATTATAATCAGACAAAAACTGTATTTGGAGTAGCATTGTGCCGTTTCCGTATTATATATTTTATTTCGATAGGGTTCGATATTCTTTTAATTCTAATTGTGGCGGCCATGCGGTTTGCCTCTCGATTTTGCTGTTAAATCTGGCGTAGTTGGCCTCCCTAAGAAGTAAGTTTTGTATTGTCTTACCTAAATTTACATGTATATCTAACTTGATCATCTCTATCTAATAGTATTACGCAATATTTTTTATCATGTTTAAATTCTGATAATACAATGTTTTGTAAAACCGCGCATTTTCAGCATGCGGTAGGCATAGGCCTGTTTAGCTCACATTTTAAAGTTACGCTTTTAATTTTGTATAATTGCTTAAGATTTTGATATTGTGTCAAATTCTTAATATGCTTTTATAATTTGTAGTTTTTCACCCTCTCACGAGGTTTGTCCAATAAACGGTACAGTGAAAAATTCTTAATTCCTGGCCATTTGTATGGAGCTTCGCCAGACTAGGAAGATGACAGCACAAGGATCTCACCAGTTTGAGGAAAGTGTTTTAAGCTTTACATCAAAGCTATCCATGAGATATTGATCGTATTATTTGAGTCAGAACATGGTGTAGAGCTCGTACAGAGTCAACAGATTTTTGACAGTGTACAGAAACATTTGGAAAATTATGAAGTTCTTAGTAACAGTTATGAAGCATTTTTGAAAGGTCACAGAAGTGTAGAAAGTGCAATTAACAGTCTTCACACAGACTTATTCGAGCATCTTTACATGTCAAGACTACTGCTTTTATCGAACAGTTACAGTCCGCACTGCCGAAGATGGAGTCATCAAAAGGCACCGTCATTAGTTCCCTCGCACAGATCCGGATCAAGTCACCTCACCGCTGTCTGGATGCAACATTCTGCTAATGTTGAGAAAGCGAAGGCTCGTTTAAAGTATGCAGCTGAGGAGGCTGAGCTCATTAGACAAGAAGCTGCTCTGAAAGCCAGTAGGAACCTTTTGAACGTGAAGCGTGAGCTTGAAGAAGCTGAATCTGGACTAAGTGCAATTCGTCAAGTGTTAGACTTTTCTCATTCAAGCTCAAGATCTATGGAGAGCGATCAAGGCAGCTTTAAACCTTCTTTGTCATCCAAGCTCCATGTGCTTCGTTACATGCAGGATAACAACAATGATCGCACCCCTCCTTCGGAAGTTCCGGCTGAAGTGGATCTTCATGCGTCTAATAACAACAAACCTTTCCCTCAGGAAATAAGGCAAACTCCACCTTCCTTGTGTGCTCCAGAAAGGAAGACTAATGAACTGAATCCAAGTGCTGTTCCGTTTACCCCTATGCAAACTTCAACGGACGCTGCAGACTTGGCAAAATTAGTTGCTAAGAACCAGTTCCTGCCTAAGAGACTTTGGAACTTTAATGATGATCCGGGAAGATACCTTACTTGGAAGTACAGTTTCATGAACGTAATGAATGAAATCAGTGCAACAACACTGGAACACTTGGACTTGTTAGTAAATCATCTTGGACCAGAATCTAGAATACAAGCTGAGAATATCCGAGCTACAAAATTCACGGAACCCAGAGAAAGCTGTCAAGGATATATGGGAACGCTTGGACCGTGAATATGGGAGTGCAGAAACTATTAACTGTCACTTAAGAAGCGCATAAACAATTTTGTAACTCTCACAGATGGTGATCGCAAGAAATACCTTGACTTGTGCGACCTAGCAGCAGAAGTGGAATCAGTGAAATGTGACCCTGTGTTTGGTACAGCGTTTTCATACTATGACACGTCCAGTGGCATCAATGAGTTTGTACATAAACTGCCAAAGCGTTTCCGTGAAAAGTGGGCTGCAGAATGTGACAAATACAAGATGAACAATTGTGTCTCACAAGTGCCATTCTCTGTATTTACAAGATTCCTGAGAGATCTCGCGCGTGCGCGCAACGATCCCAGTCATCTGTTCGAGACTTCCTCTACTAACGCTGGCCATGGATCCGGAAACTCACTGACGGCCCAGCAGAGGTACAAGACTGGATTACGCAACCCTTATCGTCAAACGACTGTGTCTACTAAGAAAACAGACATCACAAACGACTTGAATTCTAACATTGTCGATGTGAGCTGCCCCATTCATGGAACCAATTCGAGTCACTCGCTTAAGGAGTGTATGAAATTCAGCAGAAAAACATTTAAGGAACGAAAAGAATGAACCTCTACAAGAATGGTTTCTGCCTGAAGTGTTGTGGTTCCAGGCGCCATTTGAGAAAAAACTGCAAAGAAACTGTAAAATGCGACACTTGTGGTTCTACAGACCACATTACAATTCTTCATCCTGAGCCTGGAGTGAGTCACGAGGGGGAGCAACCTCGATCTAGCCACGAGGGGGAGAAACTCCAGCTAAGTACCTACTGTACTGAAGTATGAGGCACTCGATACAGCACAAGCAAGTCATGTGCAAAGATCTTACCTGTGTATGTGTACCCTGTTGGCGAGGAGTATCGTTCACGCAAGGTGTATTGCATGATAGACGACCAGAGTAACAAATCGTTGGCCACATCAGCCTTTCTTGACGCCTTTGGAGAGTGTGGTACAGAGACTGAATATGTTCTTTCTTCATGTTCGGGGAAATTCGTTTCGTCAGGACGCAGGGCATCCGGATATGTCGTGGAGTCAGTTGATGGATCGTGTATTCTAAGTTTACCATGTGTGATAGAATGTATAATGACATTCCAAACAACCGGCATGAAATACCGTCTCCAGCAGTAGCAAATAACTACACACACCTTCGTGACATTGAACCCTTCATACCAGATGTTGATGACGGTGCTGGAATTGAACTCCTGATGGTGATTGGAAGGGACCTGGTTAACGCACACCATGTGTTGGATCAACGTGTTGGAGAAGAGGGACTTCCTTATTGCCAGATGTTACCCCTAGACTGGGTTATCATCGGAGATGTTTGTTTCGGCAAAGTGCATCAACCAGAGGTGATTAGTGTAAACAAGACTTCAATTCTAATGAATGGAAGACCCACTCATTTACTGTCCTGTGGAAATGAATTCCTTGTGGAAGAGGAGTCTATCTTCCAACGCTTACCAGTAAATTAAGAGCATAGCTCCAAATAGCGTAATGGATAGGTTGTTGAATTTTCATGCTTACCACCCGGGTTCAATCGCCTGTGTGTCAAATTTTCTCATCCACATTTCAGCTCAATTTTACATGGAATATTTTCCGGAATCGGATGGAAGACCTCTCGTTGCTCGTAACGAGATCGTTTCTAGTTATTATTTTTCTTCCAACCGATTTTGTGCAAGCGATTTCTCAGAGATAGCTCATCCGATTTATATCAAACTTTCAGATCTGATAGATATTCAGTTGATCTTGATAGTTTTTTTTTTTGCTTTTTGATGACATCACTTCCGGTCGTGAGATATGGTCGATTTTCTGATTTTCAGAGGGTCGGCTTGTTCAGGAAACTCCTCCTAACCGACTTGAAATGTTGACTTAAGATTTGCAGTGAAAGTAAAGAAAGGTTTAGTGAATTGTAATTGGGTCTCCAAATCTTTCCAGCGCAAAAGGCGCCGGAGCTCGTAGAGCCCGAAAAAATATCTCAGAAACATCTCACAAAATTGAACATATTTTGTTTCATATCTTCGTACCTAATCATATTTTGTGAAAACACATTGAAGAAAAGTTGTGCAAAATTACAAGACCTTTCATTTGATATCAAGAAAAGGGGGCTGACTTCTCAAATAAGGGGCCCAGAGGGCCAAAAGTCTTTCATCTTTAGCTCGTTAGCGATCAATATTTCGTAATACATTACTGAAGGAAAAATTTTCTCTTGACCATTTGCAACTATATAATATAAAATTTTGATTATATGTTACGTAATTAGGGGTCACAAGGGGCCAGAATACTAAATCTTTGAGATTTTATATCTCGAAAAGAGCGAATATTTTGACAAGCAATATTGAACAAAAGATGGTCAGAATAATGTTCTAAACAATATTCATACTTTGAATTTTTGTAAAACGGCCCCATTAAGGACTTGGAGCGATGGCCCCTAAATATTTCCATTCAGCATATCTCCACAACGAAAAGGAATCTCTGAATAGATGTTGAACAAAAAGTCTTTGAATTCCTGTCTGGTGTGGCTGCTATCCAGGATGACAATGGTCTTATAACAAGACCACATGGGTAGATGTTAACATCTTCATCCATAGCCTAAAATTAATAAAGAAAATTAATTTTGATTCAATATAAAATTTAACCGGGGTAGTTTGATATGATGTACATGTATTTAGACATCAAATATTATATACCTGCACATACGCTAATGCAGCTGTAGGTTCACATGCTAAGCCGTGTCTCATTGCTGCTGAAACTACCTTCCGTGTGGTCCTCAGTCGTGCCACAAGTGGCTCACAATCTATAAAAAATGTTGTTTTGTAAGGTATCAATAACACTCAGCATACAAAGATGATTATGTTTACATTAAGAAATGCTTAATATCATATTACATAATGTGACAAATATTTTTAGATGCTTATTTTTTTTAGGCATTCATAGATTATATTCTAACCTTTTTTCCGTCGTATAATGTCTCCTGCAACAGATGCTGTAATTCTGTCTTGGCGTATTTTGTGCCATTTTGGATCCTGGGACTGAAGGCGGGTGGAAACTTCAATTTCACTGGCCTGCATCTCCGACACTGACAGTGACTCCAGTTTCACAGATTTATTATAGTCTAGAACTACTGCCACATTGTTAATCATGGTGTTTTGCTTCGGTAAAGATGGGAAATCTTCAGCATCCAAGATATTTAGAACGTATTCACTGTGCAGTTTCTGCTGTACTCCTTTGGGTGATCCTATAGGAAAATTCCCGAACTTGGTACACACATCTTTCTGCTGCTCACTGGAGCTCACAACTGATAACAAAAGACATGATTTGTCAATGGAAGACAAAGCTTCACACAGTTCTCCAATCGGTGGACACTCTGAATTTACGGAATTATATAAGGTTGTTTTTAATCCACGGGTCTTCATCCTGGGGTCACTTGTGTTGAATCCTGTGACAGTTATATTGTCGGATGAACTGCCACAAATTTTCTCACCTAAAACAAGAGGCCCATGGGCCTTATAGGTCACCTGAGCATTATGCAACAACTTTCCAGTGATTGAATTTGATTCATGTTTTAAGCAAGATGCTATGGCATTCACAATTTTGAAAGAGGCACCATTGATCATCATAACAATACACTTAGCAGTTGCTTAGTTTGTTTACTTAATACCCATACGCAGGGTAAGGGAACACAAAATGCATTTCAACTAATCAGTAATATTCAGCAATAATCAGTAGTGCCCCTACCATACATGAACCCCTGACCCTTAGGCCTTGATATTTGATTAATACCAAGGAGCAGATTTCAAACCATTCATTCATTTTCAGTATATAAGTACAACCCCCCCCCCTTCTATGGTACCCCTGACCCTGGGGCCTTGAAATTCACAATTGTGGAAGATATGGGCCCTTGTCCATCATAACTATATTGGTAGTTTATCTGCTTAATACCCTGGAGCAGAGAAGAAGATTTTCAAAGATTTAATGTATTTTCACTATATAATCAATAGAGCCCCGCCGTAACACCAGAACCCCTGACCCTGGGGCCATAAAATTCACAATTTTGGTAGAGGCACTCTTGCTCATCATAACTATGTACTTAGTTAGTTTATTTAATACCCAGAGCAGAGAAGAAGATTTTCAAAGAATTCATGTATTTTCACTATATAATCAATAGAGCCCCGCCCTAGCACCAGAACCCCTGACTCTGGGGCCATAAAATTCACAATTTTGGTAGAGGCACTCTTGCTCATCATAACTATGTACTTAGTTAGTTTGTTTAATACCCAGGAGCAGAGAAGAAGATTTTTAAAGAATTCATGTATTTTCACTATATAATCAATAGAGCCCCGCCCTAACACCAGAACCCCTGACCCTGGGGCCATAAAATTCACAATTTTGGTAGAGGCACTCTTGCTCATCATAACTATGTACTTAGTTAGTTTATTTAATACCCAGGAGCAGAGAAGAAGATTTTCAAAGAATTCATGTATTTTCACTATATAATCAATAGAGCCCCGCCCTAACACCAGAACCCCTGACCCTGGGGCCATAAAATTCACAATTTTGGTAGAGGCACTCTTGTTTATCTTAACTATGTACTTAGTTAGTTTATTTAATACCCAGGAGCAGAGAAAAAGATTTTCAAAGAAATAATGCATTTTCACTACCTACTTATTTAGCCTCGCCCTAGCACTAGAACCCCTGATCCCAGGGCCATGAATTTCACAATTTTGGTAGAGGACTCATTGCTGATTACAATCATGCAAACAGTTTGACTGCTTGATGTCCAGGAGTAAAGAAGAAGATTTTTAAAGATTGTACTAATTTTAGTGGTTTTGGCCCCACCCCACAGGCCCCAGGGGGGCAGGGATCATGAAATTCACAATTTTTGTTCCCCTTCACCCATAGATGCTTTATGCCAAATTTGGTTGAAATTGGTTCAGTGGTTGCAGACAAGAAGCTGAAAATGTTCAAATGTTAACGCACAACGCACGACGACGGACGAAAACAGATAGCAATAGGTCACCTGAGTTTACTCAGGTGACCTAATAAAATTTTAAAATAAAATTTTTAAAGAAACAAATGCATTTTAAATGTGTACCTATGTGCATCTGATAATTTTGCATGTGTATCTATATATATATATATATATATATATATATATATATATATATATATATATATATATATATATATATATGTTGTTTTTTTTTAATACATATTGCATGTAATTTTAAATTTGTTTAAAATAATTGTAGCCAGTGGTAGAACATTAAATTTGTAAGTGTAAAACTGCTTAAACAGACAGACCAAAAAATGTTTACGTCTTGGAACATGCCAAGTTTGTGGTAAGGAAGTCTTGGCAACATCAGTCAGAACTGCCTTAAGATTGGATGCTTTCATATGTGCAATGGAGTACAATACACCTACAATGTGTCCACAAGATCCAGATCTACCAAATGCACAGGAACACTTGCTGTCTTCTCTTCCAAACACCGGTCCTTTCTTTATTACTACCTAAAAATGATTATACATGTATTAGAATATCATTAAAGTACAATTATCATATGACCTGACATTTACAAAATACATGCATGTACATATTCTTTAAAAATTGAATACAATATATAGTTATTAATCTCAGTTACATGAATTTATGAATTCATTCATAAACTAAAACATGGACAATAGTATTTGGTTTAATCATTAAATATCATGTTAGAAACACAATTCATTTCTTTATATTGTCGTGTGAAACTGAAAGTACAGTATGTATTAGCAGATAGTGTGTGTCTTTACCTCTGATGTCTGTTACGTATTTCTCACTAAAATACTTATATCCTTTGGTGAGCTCTTCTGTTCCATCACTTTTAACACACTTTCCTACAACTTCCTCCACAAAACTGAAGGAAATTGCAGGTACGACAGATAATTCGCGAGTCGATTTTTTGACTTTCAATTCAGACGCCATAGTTTCTACCGACGCTAGCCTCGTTTTGGATCCGATATGAATATTCATCACGATCTCATTAAGAAAGGAGTATAGTTTTAAACACCATCTGCACGAACCTCATGGTTTTCCTGTACCGATGACAATTAACCTAAAAAGAAATCAATTCAATAAATGGCACAGTAATTATCAGGCTCATAAAACACCTCAAACATTCACATTTGAAGACAGACAGACACACAGATATTCCACACATACAATTTTACCATATTCCTTTTATGTCCCTAACGTGTAATTAATTATGAATTTGCTCCCACTTGAAATCACCCTGTTAACATTGGCAAGTTAATTCAGCTGAATAGGTAAAAAGCATGTTTTACTGACAATAATTATACATTCAACAAATACATGTACTGCAATTGCTAAAAGTATGAGTAAAAAATCAGCTAAGGTGTATGTTCACACACATCGCTTAACTTCCAGACAACTGCATCCAGCTTGACCGAGCGACTGATTTGAAATGATGTATGTCGTGTATGTGATGTGTCGATCATCCTGTTCCAAAAACATTAAATTGTAATTTACAAATACTGTGCTAAGGTATACCTCTTACCTTCTGTGAATAATACAAATGCCTATCTCCTTTATACTGCTAGACACTGCACTGAACAGTTTTGATAACTTTCTGCTAAGTCTACTTTCACTTTGACCTTGACCCTGATTGAATACCGATTCCGACCTAAATTGTGAATTTTTGTGTATTGAAAATAAAAGACAGCGGAGCATGTACTTCTACATAATTACTCTTTCATCTAAATATATATTTGTGATTCTGAAAAAACAAATGATATAAATCGATACATTTAATTAACGTGATACATGTGTAAACAATGGGTGATACATGTCGATCTGTCCTAAGGGTGGGGGGGGGGGGGGGCTAGAGAATTTATTTATGAATAATTTGTTTGAAAATGTGTATCAACAAAATAAGAATTGTTTTTTTTCCATTGATTTGAACAATTAGAAATGATAGAAAACACCAACTTTGAAATAAAGCCAAGATCTATGACATTTTTCACTTACTTATACGCTTCCCAATATGGGTACAGTCCACTAATTGTTTTCCCATAGGCGACAATGTTAACGTTTCTCCTCATAGCGATGTCCCTAATTTTCGTTCAGTAGTGAGTGACCCCTCAAATCAAAGCACATCAAGTTGTCTTTCCTTGGTTAAAATCTCGAGGTGGCATGTCAGATTCGTTTTCCGGCAAAATGCGTCTGTCTGCGGCAACCTCTAAAAATGAAAGTGAAAGTAGGGGAACATCAGAGTTCTCACTGGCGTTATTATACACAAAATAATTCGGCTGATCTTCTTGATAAATTACATTTGCCAAACTTTTTTAGTAGGAAAGATACTCCTTATCAACAAGTGTGAGGCTCTGTTTAGTACATCTGCACAATTTTTTTCTGCAAGTTAAGGAACTTGTAATTTTTTCTGCACTACTTTCTTCTCCTACCGATTCTAAAAATAATTAGTGGGATGTACCCATATGACTGAACATGCTGAACGTGCTTTTTAATTCATTTTATCCGAGCAAATATTTTGTTTTCGTGTGTGAATTTTATGTACCTTGTAAAATGTAATGGAAAACAAATGTTATAAATTTTATATAGCATTCACATATTAGAACTATTTATTCATGCGCATAAGCTGCATTGTTAAAAGTCTCCACCATCTAGAGTTACAGTTCCTTCCATGAACCACCTGGATCATTTGGCACTCCTCGGCTGATTCGGTTTGCCGAATGAGTGGAAAATTTAGCCAGGTACCCTGCCTCATCCTTGCCAAGGCAGTGACGCAAAGTAAATGAAGCAAAACAGGGACAAGGAACCAGGCTATGGAAAAAATTGCGTTGCTGTACGCAGCAAACAATGAACTCTAAGAAAGGTTCCTGAAAGAAAGCAATGGAACGCTAATGCTGTATAGGAATGAAGAGGATCTCGCCTATAGAAGATTCTACTTTGGTGGAATTTTAATCGGTAAATGTACTTATTACTAATTAAACAGTAAATAGCAATAATAAGTAAAATTTTAAATCAAAGAATTACGGTTTCAGATATTTTAAGAGGTGTGTGTCTATATCGAATAATAAAAAATCTTAGTCAAACAAAAAGAGGATATGGATGCCATTGGATGGATCAACTTTCAAATATGAGCTTGCGTTAATAGGAATGTTGTTTATGTATAGAGCGGCGGTCATTTTTCATGGACTGTACGTATTCATAAGCGTGCGTGTGCAATTATAAGTAAAAATGTGAGCAAAAACGAAGTAGCTGCATGTTATTTTACGGATTTGTTTTCAAAACGTACATACATACATTAGACACTAGACACACTAGAAGGAACTATTGAGGGAGCCTGTTTTGATGAGTATGCAACTACCTTAAATCAACTCCATTTCAGATATCCGAACGATTTTCCATTCGAATAGAATTTTTTAATGTTATTTTGTCTTGTTAAACTGGTTATTTAGGTACCCGGATAAATGAGACTTCACTGTATATATCTTCTTTTAAAAAAATCGCGTCATACCTAAGACGTAAACATAGATCGTGACTGTTCCTTCGCCAAGCGCTCGGCACTAGAAGTGAAAGTCAAGGGTCCTTCGGATATGACCTTAAAAACGTAGGTCCCGTGTCACGGTAGGCGCTGGTAACATTGTGGGTCTCTCCTGAAAAAGGGGGTTTAAAATGTGCACAGGCCTTGGGTATTTTCTCCCGGGTAAACAAGCATGGCGTCGGTACACTTATCAAAAATGTCACTGCCTCAATTAAAAAAAGTTTTTTGAATGAAAGAGGCATAAAAACTACCTGTTATAAGCACAAGAAGCTAACACTGATAATTCTATTGATGAAATGACCTGTCAAACGTTACGACGAACAGTAAGTCGATAAATTTTCTCTCGTCCTATGCGGTTTAATATCAGTTGGAAAGATGATTTATCCTCTCTTCCGAACATTGAGAGTTATGTTTTGTTTTACTTAAATACATGTATGTAGGCCTACGAGACCATTCCGTTTTCGTGATACATGTATCTTTGCGTCAAGGTTGGGTGATCATATTGCGAGACGTCATAAAACTGAGAAACGTGTCAAAAATGCATCATCACTTCCAAAAGTACTAAAAGATCGAGAATTCTAAAAGTTTCAAAAGGAGGGAATTCTAAAGGCAAATGCTTCTGTTCATTTACAGAAAAATCCTGATTTTTTTCAACTTTTACATGAAAGAGAGGCTATAAAGAGCTATGAATCAGTAATGTGTTCTCCCTGCAAAGGTTTTCATAGCAAGAGAAGAATCTCTATACTGCAGAAAAGATGTGTTGTAGCAGAAGGGATAACTGGATACCCATGGTCATGCAGTGTGAGACTTCTGAAGCCTGATTCAGGTTATTTTACAATTATAGACAGGAGATATTGGAATGTTTTCATGACACCGAAGTTGGAAAACTTATCAGAGAAGATGCCTGGAGAAAAAGATGTCGATATCTTAAAAACCAAAATTTCATGCATTACATACAGAACAGGGTCGACAATTGATAAAAGTCAACTTTTTACAGAATTTGTGTACATTACGGGGCATTCACAAAACCCCGTTTCACCAAATATCAGATGGAATGGTGGAGAGGTTAAATCGTACTATTTAGGATATGTTGTCAAAATATATTTCCTTACATCAGTCAGATTGTGACAATTTTATTGACGGTATTTTAATGGCTTACAACAATGCTGTTCATGAAACAATAGGAGTGAGTTCATATCGAATGATATTTGAAACAGAAATGGTGATACCAGTTGATTTATTTTCAGATCCGACTAATAGTGTTACATGTATCAGTGATTTATAAAACCACCATGAGAGTTAAAACAGAAACTAGAAAATTGCCATGAAATTACCAGAGAAGAAATAAAGAAAAATAGCCAAAATCAGAAAAGAAACTACAATAAAAATGTGAAAAAAATAAAGTATAGTGTTGGTGGTACTGTGTGCCGTTTCAAATCACAACAGATACTAGGAACTAAACTTAAGCTTGCAAGAAATTGGAGTGGACCTTGGATAGTGATTAAAAAACTTAATGATGTGTTATATCGGATTCAACATTCTGCTGTGTGAAAACCTATTTTGATTCATGCGGACAATCTTTAACCAATTAAAGTAAACAGAACAATTTATCATAAACTTCAGGGAATAATTCTGCAGTGTTCAGACGGAAATTCTAAAGTCATTGTACCAAATTTATGTCCTAGTAATGAGGTCCCAGAGGAGAACATTAAAGATCATACATAAAACCTTGATTCAGGTGGAATAAATTTACATAACTTTGTGGATTCAGAGATACTTTCATGACAGGGGCGTAGCAAGAGGGGGGGGGGGGGGGGGCTGGCCCCCCTCCACTTTTTAGCTCACCTGAGCCGAAGGCTCAAGTGAGCTTTTCTGATCACATTTTGTCCGTCGTCCGTCCGTCTGTCTGTCTGTCCGTCTGTAAACTTTTCACATTTTCGACTTCTTCTCAAGAACCACTGGGCCAATTTCAACCAAACTTGGTACAAAGCATCCTTGGGTGGAGGCGAATTCAAATTGTTAAAATGAAGGGACATATCCCCTCGCAAGGGGAGATAATCAAGAAAAGACAAAAATAGGGTGGGGTCATTAAAAAAACTTCTTCTCAAAAACCACTGGGCCAGAAAAGCTGAAACTTATGTGAAAGCATCCTAGGGTAGGGTAGATATTAAATTGTTCAAATCATGACCCCCGGGGCAAGGGCGGGGCCACAATGGGGAATCAAAGTTTTACATAGAAATATATAGGAAAAATCTTGGAAAATCTTCTCCTCAAGAACTACTGGGCCAGAAAAGCTGAAACTTATGTGAAAGCATCCTAGGGTAGTGTAGATATTAAATTGTTCAAATCATGAGCCCCCGGGGCAAGGGCGGGGCCACAATGGGGAATCAAAGTTTTACAT